AATTTGACCATGTCTTGTGATTGCGTTTGGTTGCATGGAATTGGAATGAATTTGGATTAGGGAAGGAATTTGTCGGATAGGAATTGAAATCCGAGGGTATTGTCGTGGAATGTAAAATCCACGAGTGAAAGAATTTATTGGAATTGAAAGAATTCCATCAGTTTTATTTCATGAACCAAACATTGTATTTGGAATTTGGTCAAAGGATTTGGCCATTCCAATTCCTTTCAATTCCATCCAAATCCATGAACCAAACAACCCCTTAGAGAATCTCTAACAAAATTTTCAAAATAGAAAATTAGAAATCAAAATCTTAAAAAAATTATATTATCTCCAACAATTTCTTTATTTTAGAGATTACAATTTAAATTATATTATTAAAATATTTAATATCTTTTATAAAATATTGTTTTTCTTTTTAATACATTTAATATTAAAGATTCTCATCATTTAAAAGAGTAATACATAATTTTTTTTTCCACATGTAATCACTTTTAAGAGTTCTCCAACAGTCCAACTCCAAATATAGAGAATTTCATCGTCTATCTTCTATTTACTCCATTTTAGAGATGGTGTTGAGAAATATGCTCGAATAAAATTCCCAAAATCTCCATTTTAAAGAAACTATTAAAGATGATCTTGTTATAATTATATAGAGCATCTCCAAGAGATTCTACAGTTTCTCTAAATTTTATACTCTAAGAGATTCTCTAAAACTATCTCTAAAATGGAGAAAGTAGGAAAGAAAAATGTTTTTTTTTTCCTCCAAACATGGAGAACACTCTAAAAATGATTACTATGTGAGAGAAATATTTTTTGATATATTTTCAGAGTCTTTTGAGTTAAATGACCTTTTCTCTCATTTGAATTGGTCTTATAGCCATTTCTCTCCCGAATTGACTCAAATGTCACTACTTCCGTAAATACCATATTGCGGACCTAGCTAAAGCCCGAATTTTCAACACAAATATGCAATTGTGACGGCCAGATATGCAATTTGAGACAACCATGTCCGCAGTTACAAATGGTCAGGTTCACAATTGAGACGATAAACTGGTTGATTTTGACATTTTTTTGTCTTTTAGCCAGGTTCGCGAAAAGGTATTGCGGATGTAGTGACATTTGAGTCAACTCATAAGAGAATTGGTTATGAGGTCAATTTGAACAAGAGAAATGTTCATTTGAGCTAATTTATCTATATTTTTATCAATAGAAAACTTTGAAAATAAATGTTTAGAGAGAGAAATAATACAAAAAAAAAAAAAAAAGGAATTTGGAGGTGAATGTAATTTTTTTTGAAGATTTTGATTTTTTATTATCTATTTTGGAGAAATTATAGGGAATCTACCGGAGATGCAAATTTCTCAAAATGAAGAAAATACAGATTTCGAGGATTTTGGACAATTTTTTTGCTTTAACAGATTTTCTAAAACATTTCTTCAAAATTGAGAAAATATGAGAGAAAGTGTAACGGTCCAAATTGGTAGATAACCCAAAAATAATTGCAATGAGAAATAAATATTGTTTAATATATTTTCATCAATAGTAAACTTTGAAAAGAAATATGTAGAGAGATAAATAATATATTATTACAAAAAATGAATATTTTATATAATTAATGTTGTAATTTGTAAAATAAAAAATCCGTTGGAGTTGAATGTATTTTTCCTTTAGGGGGAGTTTGGTTCGCAGATTCTCAGGAAATTTCATAGAGTTGGAATGTTGAATTTCATTCACTAAATTTCATTCTCTCATTTGCTTCATTATTTTTCACGAAAGTAATCTTCAGTATCCTACAAATTCAAAAAAAAAAAAAGGAATTTAACAATCATTAGCAACTACTTAATATTTTGATGGAATGAAATTTTTTATTTTCATATTACCAAATATGCCCTTAACCTAATATACCATAATCTCATAAAACCCAATATAACCATCATCGACCACATTCGATCTGAAACACCGCCGACCACTGCCATCTGAACCACCGTCGACCATTGCCATTTGAACCATCATCGACCACCATCGCCAACTACGACCAATCTGAACCCCCGCCATCTGAACCACCGTCGACCATCGCCATTTGAACCATCATCGACCATCATCGCCAACTACCACCAATCTGAACCACCGCCGACCACTATCGATCTGAACCAGCGTTGATCTGAACCATCGTCGACCACTACCAATCTGAACCACCGTCGCCCACCGCCGATCATCACCATCTGAACCACCATGAACCACCACTGATCTGAAGTCTGAACCACTGTCGACCACCACAATGGACCACCATCGATCTAAATCATCGCAAACTACTACTGATCTAAATCACCGCCAGCCAACGCCAATTTGAACCACCGCCAATCATCGCCATCTGAACCACCATGGATCACCACCGATCTGAACCACTGTCGACCACCACAATGGATCACCATTGATCTGAACCACTCCTAACTACTATCGATCTGAATCACAGCCGGCCATCATCGATCTAAACCATCACCGACCATCACCGATATGAACCACCCTCGATCTGAACCACCGCCGATCTGAACCGCATCCGACCACCGCCACCTGAAGCACAACAGACCACCACCGATCTGAACCGCATCCGACCACCGCCACCTGAAGCACAACAGACCACCACCGATCTAAACCGCTGCTGACCATCGACGATTACCACATATCTTTCAAAACTTCTAAGTATCCGGATAACCGCTTGAAACATTAATCGGCTATCATGCTGATATGACGAGTGATGTGGTATCCAATTCAATATTATTTGTTAACGTGGTTAGTGATGAATTTTTTTAATCCAAAAAACCGGTTATCCGAATACTTAAATATTTAAAATTTTACATCCTAAATATCAAAATAAAAATTTTAAAAGTATGTTATCTATAATAAAAATCAAGTTAAAATACGTAATTTTTTCATGCAATTTTGCCGATAAAAAAATACATAGTTTAGCCGAATTATATTTGTATTTTATTGGCCAATAGACTTTGTCTAATTTCTGAATTTTCAGGGGGGGAAAGCGTGTCTGGCCGCGTTGGCATTTGACAGCCGCCCATCATTGTCATATATTTTCAAAATGATTTAGTCCTTCAAAAATAAGATTGTTTAACAATTGGTCCCTATACTACCGATTGCTTCGATGAGGCACTTTTTGAACTATAAACCATTAGTCCGTGTCATTTATTGGTTAAAATCAAGAGCCATTATATCACGATGTTAAGCACATTTTGGTCAAAATGATTGTTAATTATTGTACCTAAGATTTACATATTCTTTTTTGAAAAGATTTGAAAAGTTATGCTTCAGAACTGTGATTTTTACTAGTTGCCCATTTATTAGAAAATTATTGTTTGGTAAGACCTATATTTCTACGAGAATAAACTATATGCTTATACAAATATTATTTGCCATCTAAGAGCCAAAACATGAAACAATTCACATAAGAGAGAGGTGCCTTTGGGAACGCGGACACAGATGGTGCATGACTGTCGTCAGCTCGTGCCATAAGGTGTTAAGTCCTGCAACAAACACAACCCTCGAGTTGAATGTCATTTGAATTTAAATTCAAGACCTCACATTTAGAATTTTTGCTTCTTAACTGTTATAACAATTAAGTAGGTACAACTATCCACACAATTAGTGTGGATGTAAGGAAGATTTCACTAAAGCTGGTCAACATGTGGCTAACGAAAGAAAAAGAAAGTGGGTTAATGGACGGGATTATGAATTACAGAACATCAAGTACTAAAATTGCCAGAAACATAAACCTTAGGGTCCATTTTTGTCATATTTTAAAAATTTTAAACTTTGTGCGGATAAAGAGTTGTTCGATGTTGTCTTGTAGACCGGCCCCCCTAGAAATCTACCCCCAACGACATAGTCGACCTCCCATAACCGCTTTCCGGCGAGCGGTTTCCTTCCCCATCTCAACCCACCGGCCACCACGCGTTCATTGATTTACAGACCGTCATCTTGATTCGACAATCGTACATTCAACGCACGCTGAGGTTTTGGGGGTGATATTGGGCCAAATTTTATCGAATAATCTTCCCGTTTGAATTTTGATTTTGACTGGAAAATACTTTGCAGGTATCACTGCCATTACCCTCCACTTTGAATTTGTGAATATTTGGTTTTTTCCCTTTCCAAGATTCATGGATTTTGCCGTTTATCTTTCCTCTAATCATTAGCCACAGAGCGAGCAATCTTTGTGTTGTTTGGTCGATTACGTTCCACAAACTCATTGATTTTGAAATTTGAAAGCAAGTTGCGTAACTCCGCTCTTTTTATCTGCGTTTTTAAAGCAGAAGTTGAAGAATACCAGTGCCCTGGAATTTACCCTTTTTGAGGAATATGTATCAGGTCAGCACTTTTTCCCCTTTTCGTCTTTTGTTATTCCTTTTCTGCTTCACGACCGTCTTTCGATGTATTCGATAGAAAGGTAGTAACAATCTTAGTTTTTGGGGATTTTTTTAAGGATATCTGAATATGATCCTAATTATTTTCTGTTCTTCGATTTTGAATCGTCTGAATACAACCTCAAATAGTTTTCGTTTTGTTAATCTTTGAATATTATGGAAATAAATAGGAAGAAAAGAGATGACTGGTTGAAGGCAACCGCCAATTTTTGAAATATACGAGGCTTATTAATTGATAACCCGTAACCGTTGGCAGCAGACATGCTTAATTGTTAGAATTCATGGATTGAGTTACAACAATATGTTAGAATTAATTAGGGTTTTGTTTAGTTTCTTTGATGAGGGATGTCCATCATGTATACAATGGATTCACTTTCTTTCATTATTACAAATATGAATGAACTAAATGTTCACATGGGATTATGTCATTTAGATTAGGATTTTGTAGGATCATGTTTGAGTACATCCCACCGCCGGACCCTACTTTCTTGTGGGATATACTGAGTTTGTATGGTATGATTATGTGAGTAAAGGATTACACCATGGAAGAATATTGGATATGGTTCTGATTGTAAAATTGGATGTTGTGGGGAGCGATGATTTACTACTTTTTGTTCGAGCACATGAGTATCTGATCGTCCCAACTTTAGTTTGAAATGGTTGTATATTGGACTCGATCAAAATGCCATACTGTCACCCACCTGATCTGTGTAATCTGAGAAGGAAAACCGTGTTTCATTTGGACATATGATGTTTTGATTCTTTTCTTGCGTAATCCTCGTCTATATTTTAAAGGGTTAATAAACAAATAAGTCGATTTGTAGATAAGCAACTGAAGGGATTCATATAATATATTCACCGATAATATATAAAATCCTTTGATGACTGATCAAGATTTTGACTGGCTTTGCTGAAAGCTACCTTTACTTTCGGTCAAAGGGCTTCTAGTGAAATTATATGTGGTAGACCTATTCAAGAATATCTGCTAAGTTTTGTTATCTTTTTTAATCTGGTTCCCGAGTTGTGCTTCAATAATTTGATCATCCAGCAACTTACGTGCAACACGTGTATATAACATGGCCAGGAAGGCAGAGTTAGGGAGGTTAATGCTGGAGCTTTCTACCTTAAGTCTCATGGAACCAAGTTGGCAAGGAGTCATATGTATGACTGGCTTATATTGGTGCTGCTTGGGCTCATAGAGATTATACTGAATATCATTCATCCATTCTATCGTTTTGTGGGCAAGGATATGATGGTGGACCTTAAATATCCAATGAAGGATAACACCGTTCCTGTGTGGTCCGTTCCTGTGAGTTCTTCCCTCCTTTCATCTGCGATGCAATATATTTCTAATTTTCCTTTTTTAATGGTGCTTTGGCGGTACAATTTTTCAGTCAACATTGGTTTTATGTTTTCTTCATTGGTGACAGCTTTATGCCGTGTTGCTACCTATCATTGTGTTCACCTTCGTCTATCTTAGGAGGAGAGATGTACATGATCTGCACCACGCAATTCTAGGTAGATCTTACAATTTTGATGATTTCCCAGTTTAAATTGGAAAGAAATATGCTTCCCCTTCAACTTTAGTGACTTGCATCGATGTTTTTGCAGGCCTCTTGTTTGCTGTTCTTATAACCGGGGTTCTGACAGATGCTATCAAAGATGCAGTTGGAAGGCCACGACCCAATTTCTTTTGGCGTTGCTTTCCTGATGGAGTCGATGTATGTTAGTTTACTTCCATAAGTTTAGTAAAAGTTTATCAAAGTGTCTGCCGTTTTGTACCTCATGATCATATGCATTTTGTTATGTTAACAGAGTAAATGGTCTTGATCAAGTTGACCCACATTCTTATCAGTCATAACCAATTACCTTAATGTTTCACACACTTCTCACTAGCCGGGGGTCTTGTTTCCCCTGCAGACCCCACCTACCAGGCTCAATTGGTTTTGGTTTTGGTTTTTTAAGTATATGTACACACATTTGTGTGTGTGTAAATATAAGGTCAGGTTCAAAGGAAAACTGCAAACAATTAAAACCCGATGAACACCTTGGAAATTGTTCATCCGGACGATATACACGTGTATACAAGTAATATGTAAACAATTTGTCCGGTATGAACACGTGCATAAAATCCAAGAAACAACTTGAATTATTTGTATTCACATGTGCATACCGTCAAGATGAATGGTTATTAGGGTGTAACTCAGTTTTTCATTTTCTTTGAGGGTTTTCCCGTGAACCTTCCTCTCTCTCTCTCTCTCTATATATATATATACACTGTAAAGTTGATGCCGTGATCCTCATATATATATTGCAGGCTTATGATGTGTGGGGTAATGTGATATGTCATGGCGAAGAAAAGGAAATAAAAGAGGGCCACAAGAGTTTCCCTAGTGGCCATACTTCATGTAAGATATGTTATGATGATGTTTGACTTGTAGCATTTCTCTATGTTGTTGCACTCTCTTATCTTTTCGTTGATTGTTGAAAACTTGTGCAGGGTCATTTGCAGGTCTCGGGTTTTTGGCATTGTACTTGGCCGGAAAAATTAAAGTATTTGATCGTCAGGGTCATGTGGCAAAACTATGCATTCTTTTTCTTCCTCTCCTTATGGCATCTCTTGTAGCCGTTTCTCGGGTGGACGACTATTGGCACCATTGGCAAGATGTGTTCGCTGGCGGCATTTTAGGTCTAGTTGTTGCCACAATGTGCTATCTGCAGTTTTTCCCAGCTCCATATCACTCGGAAGGTAATGGATATGGCAGTTTGGAACATATTATTGATTCTGCTTTCAGACTTTAATACCATCTCTTATCAATGAAATAAGACTTCAGATTTCAGCACCTCTTCAAAAAACAAACACCATCTAAAACTATTTAAATTTACATTAAGTTTGCATTGATTGGAATTTTATTTATGGGTTTCAGGGTGGGGTCCGTATGCTTATTTCCGAGCGTTAGAAGCGTCAACTTTAGGTGCAAGAGTAGTTCGGCCTGTGGCTGAGGTGGATATGCAAGCGATGGAGATTCCAGATATAAACCAACAAACGAGGCAAAGCGGGAGCAATGGGTTCAGGCAGATATCGCTCTCTAACTCGCAGCAACATGATGTAGAATTTGGAAAAAACGTGACCTTTGTATAAGAAGCTTATCCATGTTGCATGCCAATTCCTGTATAGACTTTTTATCTGTCTTAATTGTTGTACTAGATGGAAAAGTAGGGGCATTGTCGCTTGTAGAGACAATAACACATCATCATCTTCTTTATGCATTATATGCTTTCAACCTCTGATTTATTTACTGTTTCACTGCATTGCATTACTTATGGCTATGGGGTGTTACAGGACCAACCTAAAATGTTGACTCAGAATCTTGCTAGGATTTTTTTCGAGAACTTGAGGTAAGAACGGTACGCAAACTCCTATATGTTAAATCATTTCAATGTAACGGCTTACTGGAGAAAGTTGATTATGAAATAATTGGTTGAAGATTTTGTTTAAGAAATGATTCTATTTGTATGTAATTTTGTCATTTTAAGGCATTTTTGTGGTTTTAATTTGTAAGGATTTCAAAATAATATGTGGTACGAAGTTTTATAGTTTGTTTCTATTCATTACTTGTCCAATCGATTTATTAGGGGCATTCAGTTGATCGAAATCTAATGAGTTTAGGTGAATCCGATCCAATCCAGTCATCCATTGGATGTTGGATTTTGTCATCAGATCCAATTCAACCAATCAAGGGGATAATAGGATTATATTGATTTCATTTATTAAATACTACTATTGGTTATCCATTAGATTTATTCAATATTTTAATCCAGTTTTCAATCAATTAATCTATCATTATTCATATATTCTTCGAATTTCTAAAAAACAATACATAAAAATATCATCTAAAAGGAATATGATAAAATATAATTATTTATTAAATGAATGGTAGTTGGATTGTAACTGGATGCATATCTGAATGATAATTTAAATGGATTACTTTGGTTTTATTGGATTCTGAATTGTCATCAAACAACCTGCCGATCCAATTTAGATGTGGAAATTTACTATATTCCAATCCAATTATAACTGGATATCCAATGATTATTGATTGAATCGGTTGACTCTAAATGGATCACATGACTTTCTGCACACCCTCACAATATATCTATAGTATTGGTTCGGGTGTAATAGAGCCTCCAAAAAGATTGTAACGGATGTGCTTACCTCACTTCGTAATTAAGCACAAAAAGAAAAACCGTAATTGCCAAACTTTTAATTAATCTAAATAACTAATTAAGAACTTAATAGTTTACAAGACTTAGGGGCCGTTTACCTAAATACTTACCCGGTAAGTGCTTACCATTAAGAGTCAACGCTATAATTTACTTTATCGGGTAAGATTGTAGTATATCAGTATCTTATGCAACAATTTACCTGGTAAGCGCTTACCCGGGTAAGAGTTGTCACCCTCACTTACCGGGTAAGACTCTCTATTCTCATCATCGCTCTTACCGGGTAGGATTCTTGCCCCTTGCCATGTTCATCCGGTAAAGAAAATTGTTCATTAAGCGATGACGGATCCAGGAAATTAATGGGGTGGGGGCACGTTGGAGGGGACTTGGGGAGGCAAGCATATGGCCATATGGGACCGGAGGGAAACCATGTAAGACGAGGATAAAAATAAAAAATTTGAGCTAATCAACAAATGTTTTTGGTTTTTGATTGGGGCCTTTCCCCCCGGTCCTTAAGGGCTAGATCCGTCCCTGCCAGTAATTACTTACCGGGTAAGCGTTTAGTAAACGGCCCCTTAGAAAAACCTAATGCATCACTGTATTAATCAAGGCATTTACCAAAATATATGATTTTTGAGACAACATATGTATCTGATTTTTGTGCTTGTGTCAATAAAAGAGGTACTTGAGCAACCAACCAAACAATGTCGAGATTCGCAACAACTCGAAGAAGATGAAGACAGTGAAGCTTGGAGGTGGTGGTGCCGCCATAAAATACGAATTGAAGCTTCTGCAACTCGATACTTCTATGTATCTTGAAAGCTCCAATTAGAACTTATTGTACGAGACTCCAAGCTTTTTCAATGGCTTCAAGTAGAACTGGTACATAAGAGATATGGTTGTCTGTCTACACAAACACAACCACCTGTGAACTCTATAGATCTCCTTACAAGGATGGTTCATATGCTAGAGTTAACGTTTTTAAGAGGTGCTGGAGTCTTATTTTACTTTTAATAAGAGGTAATACTGAAGTCTGAAAGCAGAATTAAAAACACTGTTTGTTTTTATAAACTGATGAATGTCTGAATTTGTTTAAATTGTCTATTTTACCCATCTAGAAAATTATACTGTTGGATTTGTGGATAAATTGTACAATTTTACACATATATTTATTCATCATCATTATGAAATTTACATTTAAATTATATAATTTGCATTTATTTAAATGGAAATATACTAATGACGGTATTTAGCACATTTAAACCCTATTAAAATACATCAATTGAGAGAGGAGATGATCGATTTAGTAAGGATCGATTGAGAGAAATGATCAATTTAAGGTTAATCGATTGAAAAACGTCGTTACTGAGGGTCTGGAGAATAATAAGAGGCAAATAAGAGGTTAATTTACCTCTTACTAGATAAGAAGATGGTAACAATAAGTGCCTCTAATAAGTTGGAAAAAACAAACAGTCTTAATAACCCTAACTCTTAAAGAATTAGACAAAAGAGGTTGATAATAGTTTTTCTTAAACAAACAAGGCCTTAGAGTTATAATATTAATATATATTACATATGGAGAACTTCTTCTGAGAACCATGCAATTGTGATAACCTTAAAAACTAATGCATTATATGTTATTTAAGATGATTTTTTCTCATCTAAAACTTAGATTTAGAATATCAATTAACATATATATGTTTTAAAATGTGTTTGTTTCACAATGTGTTTGTTTCACAATGTAAACCTTTTTAGCATGTTAGTGAAACAAAAGTTACTCGTAAAAGAGTTGCACATTGTAATTGATACATACATATGAAACAAACATATTGTGATATATATATATATATATATATGTTCGTCAATTCATTAAATATAGCATTCGAACGAGAAAAGAATCATATAAAACAATATTTTAAGATAAAAGTTATCACGGTTATCACAATTTATGAATCTCTTAAATGATTAAGTCTCTATATATATATATACACACGATGATCCATTTTGAAAATTGAGCCAATCTGGTATTGAAATGAGCATGAAACTTCTTGACGAAGATGATGTTGAAAATTGAGCCAATCTGGGTGAAGGTCGATTTCGATTTTAAGAAAGGATGGCACAAGGGTATAGTCTATGGAACATAGAAAATGTTTGGAGCAGACGCATGAGGCTGTACAGAAAAAGCTTGAGGAACTCCAGAAGCAAATCCATGAAGAATTAGGGTTAGAGCTTTTTCTTTAAAATTTTACCAATTTTCTTACAGGTAAAGGTCAATTTCCATTTTGCAGGTGAAGGTGAAAGTCAATCTCGATTTCACTGGTCACTCGAGGCCGAGGAGAAGATCGGTTACGGTTAAAAAGTAAATTGATTTCCACATCTAATAAGTTGAATCTGATAAGTTAGAAAAATTAATAATTTATCAAAAACTCTTTATTACCGGTTTGGTAGCGGTATAAGATTTTTTTTTCCCATCCAAACACTAAAAACTACTTATTACCGGTAGTGGTACCACATCAGAATAAGTCAATAAAGAGTTTAAATAAGCAATCCCAACACCACTAAGAATTGTTTAACAAATCAACAAATCTCTTAATTAAATATATTGGACTTGTAATAAGTACTTTATAGAATTAAGTTTGTCTGTTTAATTAATAGAAATGCATCGTTACAAACTAATTAAACAACAATAAAACCACTCATGTAATTAATTCTTATAACAACAATATCCCTTCAGAAACAAATGCAATCAATTAATGCCAAGAAGATGAACGAACAACCCTAGCTAACTAGCTCATGAAAACTGCCATTGTGCATTGATCAAGTCACCGATATCAACTTCATCAAGAATCTGCATGGTCCTTTCAACATCAAATTCAGTCATTTCTGGAAATGGATCATCAAAGTCCATGAATGTACCACCCAAGTAGCCAATATCAGAATTCACAGGTGCAGGTATCTGTGCTTGAGTAGTACCACTGTTACTTCCTTCACCTGGAAAAGACAAACCAACACTTCCAGCAGCTTCCAAATCTGAAGTGGAATGAGTTGTTGAATGATGTCCAACACCCATGAACAAATCATCTCCATTTCCTTGGAAATCTAGAGCCTGATCAGAAAGACCTCCTAACTCATGTGAAAGAAACTCATGCAAGGCCAAATCTTCCGGTGATTTATTTGCAAGTGATGTTTCAGTCCCACCACCACCGGAGTTGCAGGCCATCTTGAAAAAGTTTGGGCTCATGGCAGCTACTAAATCTTCCAGACCATTACTTATCAGAGGTTCGACCCCACCACCAGTACCGGGTTTGGTCATCAGAGGAAAAATTGAAGTCTCACCGGTCCCCATGTTGCAGTTTTGTCCGTCAATCGCAACAGGACACACCAAAGGTTCTAGGGCAGCCCCTAAACCATGATCCTCTACCGAACCCATTCCTATGACCTGGAACGGTTCAATTGGGATTCCGAAACAGTCAAATTCTGCCAGGGGTTCACTCATGGCACCGCCACCACTTGCGTCAAAACATAATGGTGTCAAGGCTTCACTGAAACCACTACCACTTCCATCCTCGGAATTTCCAGAAGTTGGACAGCTCAAAGATGTTTCACCCATAGGAAGCTGAAATGTATCACCAGAACTATGGTCAGTTACCTGATCACCACCGGAGTTACTCATGGTGGTCGTGGTTGTCTGCGGTACAGGTACCAAAAGAGCGGATTCCTGCAGTCGAGCTTTGATGTTGTCTAAGCTCATGTATAACGTTCCTTCAGAATTAAGCTCCTTTAATGGTCCCTGGAGGCTACTGGATTGAACGATGGATCCATGGTTACCAGATAGAGTCAATTGCCCACTTCTTTTGCTAGCATAGCTTCCCGCTTGTAAATTATCACCCATTTTCGCCACTGGTGCCAAGCGTGGTTTTTTGATAACCTTTTCTACTCCTTGCAGTTTCTGAAAATGGACACGATGAAACATTTTCCATCATAAAACTAATTAGAATCTAAAGGAAGTACCCTAGAAAAAACTAAAATACCTGTAGGTGACTAGCAACATGATTTCTAGTAAGGCCTGGC